ATTTTATATTTATTCATATAAAAATATTAAAGAGATGAAACTTTTGATGAAATTACAATTTTTCAAAAAAGAGTTTAATCAGATATCACTAGTGGCTCCCTTTCTTTTTGTGAGAATTAGCAGGCAGGGTAACATCAGTTAGTCAGCGGAATATCAAGCTTATAGCTGACCTTGTCAAAGTAAAAGTTTTGGTGTAAAATATGGGGATACTGATTCATTATACTTCGTTTGTCTAGAAGAATATTTCCAGGAGTGTGATGAGAAATGCATTTCAGAAAAGATATCGAAGGAAAAGTACTGGGAGGATATGATGAGAATATCTATGAAGCAATAAGTAAGTTCTGAATGATGTTAATGACTTTTTCAGGAAAAATAATGGATCAATTTATCTTAATATGGTGTATAAGAAAGTCTTATTTCCAGTAGTATTTATTGGAAAGAAAAAATACTATGGCATTTTGCATATAAGCAAGCTGAACTTTAATAACTCAGAAATAAGCTTTATTGAATATTTAATGGGAAGAAAGGAGGGATACACTATATCAAGTGTGATTGATGACTTATTACTCATCAGCCATCAACTCAAAGAGTCAAAATACATGTATCTCAAATTAGCATTTCAGATAATTGCAAATAGTGTAAAGCCATATTATGAAAATATTACATTCTGAGCTTTGAAGCCTGATAAAATTCCTAAGATGGATTCATTTTCTTTGGATAGAAATACAGTGACTATTTTCGAAGATGTATGTGCTGATTTGAAAAAAGTGCAGGAGAAAATCATCCCTTATTTTGTTGAGAAGCGACATTATAATATCAGATCGATATATATATCCCAGAGTTACTTTAACTACCCAAAGATAATACAAAAAAATATTACACATGTCTGCCTATTTAATAGGTCCTACATTACAGATAAACTAGTCAGAATTATACGTTAATATACTAATGACTAACGTAATGTGATTAAAATTATTGATAAGCATTTATGTGAGCAAAAATTTATTGTTTTTAATTTAACTGTATCCTGCGAACATTCATATAGGATATAGCTAGAATAAGACCAAATTCTCACTAATGAATAGAATTTTTCCTTCAAAGCTATTGATGAAGTAAGACGAAATGTATATTTTTTTCAGGCTTCTAGGTCATATTCAGACTTGATACGCCTCTTTACCCATAATTTCCTTTCATAAATGCTGAAATATATTTCTGGTTCTATATTTATATCACTATATCTTGTATGGAAAGAGATCCATTCAATAAGAGTGATAATTTTTCTATCCTTAGCAGAAATAATATCCTTCAGATACTGGCATTTATTCTCTAACATATCAATAGACTTTTCCACTAATGCAATAACTTTCTTTATATCAGGAATTATACTTTTGAAAAAAGCTATTGAATTTGATAATTGGATGACTTTCTCACCAATCTCTTTCAAAGACCTGATCATAGCTACCTCATAAGACTTATACTACTCTTGCAAATCGAGAAGCTTTTCAATCCTTTTTTCCAATACCTGTTTTGATATACACAACTCCTCATTTTCTTACCTTAACAAAGTTTTACAGTCACTAGTAATAGGCTTCATCTTCTGATGCTCTTTTCTTAATATAATTTTCAACTGCCTTATTTAACAAATCCTTCACTTCAGGATGAATGTCACTTACCAGTTCTAATGATAACAGATATTTTCAGGATGTAAGGCGTCATCATATATCTATTTTGATGGATTAAGAAAGCTGGTTAAGTTACTTTGAGTAATATATGTGAAAAGATGATGTTAATATACCAGTCATTTTATAAAGTGATAAAAAATTCAAGAATTCTTAATTTCTAAGCATTCTAGGAATATATATTCTGTGTATTCTGAGAATTTTACCAAGAAAAATTTTTTATTAATAAAGATAAAAATAAATACAAGAATTGGTTGGAACTTATCTCAAAATATAACTAGTGATTATTATTTGTTATTTAATTACAAAATAATGAATCTAGACTATCTACTCTACATTATCTAACAAAGCTATGCACTTCGTATATTATTCAGGTAGCGGATCTTCTGCTTTTAATCCAAGTCGAACTCAAATTAAATCTAAAAAAAAAATAGCAATTATCATAACTTTTTTCACTCATATTATTAGCAAATCTAGCACTAGGATTATACATGAAGTCGAAATAGATCATTTCGGATATCTGAAATGGTCAAAATAGTCGAAATCATTTCGACCATTGAAGGCTAAAGTCGCGAAATAGCGAAATGATGTCATATCACATGATTTTTCATATTGAGAAAAAACAATAAACAAAAAATGTACGATCTCGGTCAATAT